AAAACACACACACACTCAAAAACTGTCAGTACAAACAGCGCAGGGCTCAGATGTCTCTGCCCCCTCCATCTATAAAACTGTCTGTATAAACAGTGCACGGCTCAGATAACGAACAATTATCCACCAATCTCCAAACTCTGTATTTTAGCCCAGGTTTTATAAAAACTGATAAATACTCAAGTCAAGAAATATTTGGACTCTGAATATTTTATCTTCTCTCCAGTCTGGCTTCAGGAAACAACACAGCACAACGACTGCTTCGCTAAAGTTTTTAATGATTTTGTTGAAGTTTTGGACACTAAGGATTACTGTGCTGCACTTTACTTAGACCTGTCCAAAGCCTTTGATACTGTAGATCATGACATCTTTTGCCACAAGATATCAGATACTGGCTTCTCAGATCACAATGTTGGATGGTTCTCAAACTGTCTCTCAGGTTGGAGGCAATGTGGTCAACATAACAGTACTTCATCTAGCTACCCAACGGTCACCAATGGTGTGCCACAAGGCTCAGTTTTAGGTCAAACTCTTTTTACAATTTATATAAATAATGTAAAAAAATTCCTGACACACCCTTGCATCTCTATGCCGACGATACTGTTGTTTATTACCGAGCTAACACCGTTTCAAAGGTTTTCCAGCTTCTACAGTCTGCATCTGACATCATGCAGTCAGACTTATTCAATCTCAAATTGGTGCTAAATGTTGACAAAACCAACAGCAAGTCGGTGCCAGCAACGCTTCCTCCTATCTCATCCATGCACGGTGTTCCTACTGAGTTTGTAGTTTCTTACAAATACTTGCGAATTTTGGTCGATGCACATCTCTCTTTTAAACCACATGTTGGAAACTTGATAAAGAAACTAAAATTATAACTGGATTTCCTGATGCATGCACAATAATCCAGGTAGAAAATCCAAAAACGTTCAATCTGGTCCTCTGGACATAAAAAAATAAAAATAAAAAACAAAACAAAGCAAAAAAAAATGTAGATATGTTTCGACTCTCAATCGAAAGACTTCCTCAGTCTGAAGTGCTGTATTCAGCTCAGTCTCTTAAATAGCACCTTCTCAGAGTGGATCAACCAGTTTGCTGCTGACAACCAAAACTAGTCGCTCACATAGTCAAGAAGGACCATCAGCCTAACAATGGATCATTAGCACACTGATGGCTGTTTACTATTCACAGGGGGTTGAGTGATACTAGCAATCACAGCATTGTAAGAGGGGGACAGTTGAACATGGAGGCTCCACCTCTGTTTAATGATGGACGGTTTCTTTTCACAAAGATGGCCTCCTTTACTCCTCTCTCAAACCGTCGTTCCTCTCTGTCCAGGATGTGAACATCTTCATCCCTGAAAGAGTGACCTCTGACCTGGAGATGAGTGTAGACCTCAGAGTCCTGGCCTGATGATGTTGATCTTCTGTGCTGGTCCATCCTTTTGGCCAGTGGCTGTTTAGTTTCCCCGATGTAAGACTGATCACCCTCTTGACACTGAACAACATACACAATATTACTCTGTTTGTGCCGGGGGACTGGATCTTTGGGATGAACCTCAGTTAGAGCATTGAAGATGGGTCGTGGCTGGCTCTTCCAACATGACAATGACTCGAAGCACACAGCCAGGAGAACCAAGGAGTGGCTCCGTAAGAAGCATATCAAGGTTCTGGAGTGGCCTAGCCAGTCTCCAGACCTAAACCCTATAGAAAATCTTTGGAGGGAGCTCAAACTTCGTGTTTCTCAGCGACAGCCCAGTAACCTGGCTGATCTAGAGAAGATCTGTGTGGAGGAATGGATCACATCATCAATATACGGAATGACCTCCGGTCCGTATGTTGAGGGAGTATCAGAGAAACTGAGACGTTTATTTTCTAAATACAACGTCCCAGTGGCTTTTAAACCCCAAAATACATTAAAGACTGGGAAGGAGGTTGTTCCCCAAAATCTCACAATACATGGCCCCGGTCATCCTCTCCTTAATACAGTGCAGTCGTGCTGTCCCATGTGCAGAAAAACACCCCCAAAGCATGATGCTTCCACCCTCATGCTTCACAATAGGGATGGTGTTTTTGGGATGGTACTCATCATTCTTCGTCCTCCAAACACGGCGAGTGGAATTAAGACCAAGAAGTTCTATTTTGGTCTCATTTGACCATTGAACTTTCTCCCATGACTCCTCTGGATCATCCAAATGGTCATGGGCAAACTTAAGATGGGCCTGGACGTGTGCTGATTTAAGCAGGGGAACCTTCCGTGCCATGCATGATTTTAAACTATGACGTCTTAGTGTATTACCCACAGTAACCATGGAAACAGTGGTGCCAGCTCTCTTCAGGTCATTGACCAGCTCCTTCCGTGTAGTTCTGGGCTGATTCCTCACTTTTCTTAGGATAATTGATACACCATGAGGTGAGATCTTGCATGGAGCCCCAGTCCGAGGGAGATTGACAGTCATGTTTAGCGTCTTCCATTTTTTAATAATTGCTCCAACAGTTGATCTTTTTTCACCAAATTGTTTGGCAATTGCCCCGTAGCCCTTTCCAGCCTTGTAGAGGTCTACAACTTTGTCTCTGGTGTCTTTGGACAGCTCTTTGGTCTTAGCCATGTTCGTAGTTGGAGTCTTACTGATTGTGTGGGGTGGACAGGTGTCTTTATGCAGCTAACAACCTCAAACAGGTGCTTCTAATTTAGAATAAGTGGACACACCACCGACCACCCCCACACACTGCCAACAACAAAGCGCGCGCCCCCAGCCGACCGACCGCCAGGCCCCGGCAGCCACCCCGGCCAGCGGGCCAACCATGGCATCCAAGAGCCAAGCTCAGGGGGTCCAAACAACCCCAGGGAGAGCACAGCGCCAGCACCGCCCACGGCAATCCCCCAGACCCCGAACCCCCACATAGTCCTGGTCAACACCCGACGGCCTGCCCTTCTCCCGGACCCCACCCCCGGAATGGCAGTTAGGGAACTAGGGGGGTGAGGAAAAAAAAAAAAAATAATAATAAAACCCCGACACATACACCCCCACCCCTAGATGTGCTGTTGATGTGTGTTGTTGTATAGTGCCATTAAAAAGAAGAAGGAGCAAAGGCTGGCATGATGCCAGTTTCCCCTCCACCCCAACTCTATCCAAACCCTAGTGTCTAAATGCAACCATTGTAAGTGAATACAGGCACAGGGGGCAAGAGTAGGTCATCCCACCACCCATAGCCATGTGCCCACCTCAAGTTCATATATGTGAATGTCATGAGGATGTTATGAATGAATGTCTAAGGTGTACAATAAAATTGAGTCCCAGGTGGCAATGGTCAACAAAGATGTAAAATTGTTGCAGCACACCCGAGCCCAAACAACCCTAAATGTGTGGAATTGAAATGAAGAGGGTGGACGTGCATGGTGAGGGATGGGGAGAAATATAACTGTGAGAACAAATGCTCCCACAGGGAGTCAGCTCCCCCACTGACCCAACAGCCCCCCTCAGTTCCCCAAGGTCCACCCAGGGATTGAGGCCAAGACACCTCTCCATTTGGACTGACCGCCAGGCCCGCTGAGCTCCAGACCAGAGAGGGACAGAGCCCCGAGGGCTGCCAGAAGCAGTACCAGCAGCCCACACACCCGAGGGCCGCCAAGACCCCCACAAACCGCAGTCAGCCCGCCACCAGATGAAGCCAAACCCCACCAGGACGACCCGGCCAAGAGCGCCCGCCCAACCGCCGACAGAGCCAGGAAGCAGCGGGAGCGAGGCCCCACCACAGGAAAGGCGCCAGCCAGTCGGCCATGCACAGTCCCGGGCCGCCCCCAAGGACATCCCCCCAGTCCCCACCCCAGAAGAAATACTACACCCACCCCTCATTCGGACATCTCTCAAAACACATAGCACACTAGACACCTAGGCTGGGTCAAACGACCCCCTCTTAGGAGCCACTGGTCACGCCCCCAAACACCCAATCCCCCAGCCCATGAACCCACAACCCACCAGCGAGCCGAAGGCCCCTGCCCAGAACCGGGCACCAGAGCGCAAGCCGGCCCAGAGCCCGGCAACCCGCCCGCCAGAGCCCAAGATCCTCAATCCCCACAGGCCCAAGCCCAGGGGCGACAAGCCCCCAGAACCCCAAGCCCCCGCGCCCACCCCAGCACAGCCAGGGTACCAGATCGGTGACCCACATTCGCCGCCACAGACCACCTGAGGGCCCGTATGCATGACCTCTTCGTGCCGGGGGGTGTCCTGTCGGCTGGGTGTGGCCTGGGCCGGGTCTGGGATATTGGCTCCTCTCTGCTCGAGAATGAATGGGTTTACCTCCTGGGTTTGGGCATGGGCTGCCCCCGTAGAGGGCGGGTACATGTCTTGGACCTGGGGGGTATAGAGTGTGTATCGGGAATAAGAATGAAATGTATCGTTATTGTATGTCTTTGAGTGAGTGAGTGTGAGAATGAGGCTGGGACTGTGTGATTGTGTCTGTGTATGAATGGGTATTTGTTAAGCCAAGACTCGGACTGCACCCTCTTTGATTCAACTGGGGGTGCTTGGCATCGCGCCCCTATCGCGCGGCCCCCTGGTGGGGTGTGCCCTTGCCTGCCGGCGCGCTTGGGGCCCTTGGTGTCAGGGGCTGGGTGCTTGGGCGTGTGTCGGCTCGGCCTGGTGTCTGCCTGGTGGGGCTCGGGTCCTCTGGCCCTGTCAGGCCTTGGCCTGGGTGGTGTGCGTCCTCGGTGCCCGGGCCTCGGTGCCCGGGCCTCGGTGCCCGGGCCTGGAACTGCATCGGTGCGGCGGGTTCCGGCGGGGGCCTATGAGTTTGTCGCTGTTGGCCCCGGGGGGTCACTGTATGTGGTCGCTGGTGGGGATCTTCCGGTTCTCCCCTGTGGTCCGATCTGGGGGATGGGTGAGTGGTTCGTCCTGTGTGGGTGGCCCTGGGGGCTCCGCGGTCGGGGTCCCTCGTGGGGGTCTTGGGCTCTGGTCCCCCCTTTTTTGTCTGCCTCTGGTCTTGGGGGTCGGGTCTCTGCTGCTTCACAGTTACTATTAAATGTTCTATTAGAGAATCCTTATACACTTACGCATGCTCACAACCACACACAAATAGATGCAGGGATGCTTATGTAGGCTTTATATGTAGATATATAGATATATAGATATGTATATGAATGTATATTCATGTGTATGTAAGTATGTATATAGGCGTAGGTATGGGTATATATATTTATGGAAACTTACTGCAAAGCCATGAATATTTTAAGTTCTTTATACATATGTATTTTGTTGCTGTGTTTTGTCATGTTCTTTGCAGGTGAACAGACAGTGGCCGGGTGTTTTGCCGTGTGCTCTCTTTGTGTATATTTCTTATATTTTGGAGTCTTACTTAGTCTTTTCTTTCTTTCTATCGTATTAAAAAAAAAAAAACCTACACTAGATAATCACTAGAATAAATATTTCATAATAATGGTGTGGAGAGGATGGCTGTAAGGGGAGAAGGGAGGCCATCAAAAAAAAAAAAAAAAAAAAGAAGAATAAGTGGAGTGGAGGTGGACTTTTTAGAGGCAGACTAACAGGTCTTTGAGGGCCAGAATCGTTGCTGATTGGCAGGTGTTCAAATACTTATTTACAGCAGTAACACACAAATAAATTGTTTTTAAAAAAATCATACATTGAGATTTCTGGATTTTTTTTGTTTTGATTATGTCTCTTACAGTGGACATGCACCTAAGATGAAAATTTCAGACTCCTCCATGATTTCTAAGTGGGAGAACTTGCAAAGTCTCAGGGTGTTCAAATACTTATTTTCCTCACTGTACCATGAGATGGTAATAACACTAAAGTGTACTTGAACTTGAACTACTATATTCCTACTTTGTGGTTTTTCCACTTATCGCGGAAGGGGGCAGGGTACGGAACCCCTGCAATAAACGAGAGACTACTGTACAGCACTTTGTTGCAGCTGTGACTGTTTTAAAGGGCTTTGTAATGGTGTATATAGTGGCAGCCATCTTGAATTTTGATGTGGCAACCCAATTTTCAATAGTGACCATTCTTACTTTAGATGCAGCCGCACAATAAAATGCAAGTCACTACCTCACTTATTTTCAAGTTTTGCTCAAAACATGCACAGCCAGAAGGCATTTCCAATTTCCCCTCTTCAATTCATGACAGAGGACAAAAAATGGAAACTAAGAGTTGACCTCTCTCAGCTGGAGTCTATGCTTTGTCGAGTTAAGGCCTGTTCTAGAGCTAAAAAAAAACAGGAAAACTCAAGTAATGTATAAACATTTGATTTGTGCATAGACCTCCAGGAATAAACACCATGCAAAACAGCATTTTTAATAGTAAGTTGGCAGGTGCCAATTGTTGGATAGCAGCTCGTGACTGTTTTTTAACAAAGTATTGTGTTCTCCTTGTTAGGCATGGAAATATACAAATGTGTTTATTTATTTAAGATAAGCCATAAGTTTAAGTTTAATTTTCTGTAAAAATGTTTCTTGAAACCTGTTGAGTGTTATGAGCATGTTAGCTGAGTGTTTGCATGCGAGCGACACTATTTGTTGTGGTGAAAACATCAGCTACAAGTTGCTCGGTGTCTAACAATTTCCTGTGACAGTTGCTGTGGTTATGATTACAGATGCAAATCAAAATATAAGGTGCATTTATCCATCCTACCAGTTGTTGCGAGCTATGTCGTAGATCCAGAAGGAGTTGCGCACATTCTCCTCTCGCTTGTCTTTGTCTTTGCTGAGACCAGAAAGGACATGAATCTCGTTGAGGTCAGGGTCAATAGTGGCTCTCTGGGTGAAACCTGTCATTGGAACTGCACCAACAAAAGTACAAACAGAACAGGCAGGTCAGCTAAAACACACTTTTACCTTTCCAACTGTGCACATAAGAAGTTCTTATTAGCACTAAAAGATGCAGCCTAAACTAGCATGAATGTAGGCATTTATGGAAAATGTTTAATTAATAACACTTCCTTTTCCACAAATACAAGGAAGAGAAGCAGTGAGCAACAAAAAATGGCCCTCAATTCACACAGTTGATGAATGAGTTGATATGCCATCATGGCAACAAAGTGTGAGGTGTCTGAAGGAAGCCTAACAGCATGTAAATGAGGCTTAGTGAGCAGAGAAAAAAGCCGTACACCAACAGGGCCTTTTCCACAGCTCCTCTTCAGCACAACTCGACTCAGTTTGGTACGCTTCCAAGCCCTTTTCCACTAGCACTTTTCGTGGAAACGGCACCTTTTTAGTCCCTTCTTCTCAGAGTACCAAGCGGGCCGAGCCGGCACCAAAAAATGGCGTCAGAACACTGTTGGTCACTGATTAGTCAGGGGGAGGAGTTAGTAGAGGGGGTTGAGAATTTTTCTTAACACTCAATCTGCTATTTGCAATTACCGGTACTCAAGCTCGAGGAGCGACTGGACCCATTTTAAAGACGTTAAAAACAACAATGACAACACCGTGGTCTAATGCTGAAGTGCAGGTGTTTTTTGTGCTTGGTAGATGACGATTAAATTCCGAGCGAGCTAGATGGAGCTCCGCCGGTCCCTGACTTTTTCCGGTCCTCTCCACCAGAGCTTTGGAGCCCCCTCAGGCTGTGCAGGGCGTCATTTCCCCTGCTTCGGGCTTCGCCGGTCACCGCGAAAGATCCTTTGTGGTACCGACTAGGGGCTTGGGCTCTGGATCCCAACCTTGCAGGCTCTGTGGGCTCCAAGCTCCGCTGGTCACCACAGAGGATCATACGAGCTGATGACTCAGAAGGCCGTTGCCCAGACCCCAGCCTCAATTGATCATGAAGGCCGAACCCCAATCCTGGCAGATGGGCAGACCAGGACGGGTCTGGGATGGAGGGTGGAAACCATCCATCCATTATCTTTTATCTGCTTTTTCAATTTTGGGTCATGGGGGTTGCCGGTGCCCATGTCTGGAAATCACTGTGCGTGGGGCGGGGTACACCCTTGACAGGTCTCCAGTCCATCACAGGGACACAGAGACAAACGAGATAAACAACCATTCACTCTCTTACTCATACCTGGGGACAATTTTTTTAGAGTTACCAGTCAGCCTAATATGCATGTTTTTGGTCTGTGGGAAGAAACCAGAGGACCCAGAGAAAACTCACGCATGCACGGAGAGAACATGCAAACTCCACCCAGAAAGGCCCCCAGACCGGGATTTGAACAAGGGACCTGCGCGCTGAGCAGAAGCAGCTCTACCAGTTGCGCCACCGTGCTGCCTAAGGGTGGAAATAATTTTTAAAAACATTTTACGTATTAAAAAAATAATGTCTTTTTTTTTTTTATCAGTGAAGGGTTAAAAAAATAAATAAACGGTGCCGGCTTTAAGCCCCCAGTATACTCCCGCATACGTCCATACACGGATGTATGCACGTACGTACGCGGAGGTACAAGCGCACCCCCCAGGGCATGTCTGTGCAAAGCTCAATTTTTACGACCGCGTACGCGGTGTCGCACAATAACCTGCCCAGCGACGGACTGTTTTGTATGAGACACCAATGTATTAAATTCCCCTTCTTCATCCCTGATCTGGCCTTTTCTTTCGTTTTTTTTTGCCAAGAGGCAGTGATCTCTTCCTCCATTGAAGCCATGACTGAAATGGTGAGAAATGAAGGAATTTGTCACGAGAGAATTAAACTCAGGTCCAGCGTGGCTGTGGGAGGGTCTGGAGATTTCCTGGTGGGCTGGTCTGATGTGTGGGCTGCAGGACAAGCGCTCCCTGTTATTTTTTAATTTTTAGAACTTTATTAACAACATATAAACACAGAACACCGCTGCAACTGAGACTGCCAGCACTCGTTTTTTTTCCCCCGACCTGCCAATCAATCCAGTAGGCATGTCAGCAAATGACCAATTGGCGACCTCAATTTGTCCCGAAGGTAAACGCCCCTCGTCTGTGAAGCTGCTCTGCAGCTGCTCAGGATGGACGCTCGAGTATCAAGTCTGAACCCTGTGCGTACAGTACACGCGTACGTACGTGTGAACGGACGTACGCGGAGTATACTAGGGGCTTTATCATGAAATCCTGAATTCACTTGAATACCCATTAAATAATCTGTTAGTTAATTCAGCTGAAAAAAAAATCATAAAAAGGCACAAAATTATTGGATCTCTCAGGAATATTTCCCTCAAAGCTATGTATACATGGACATAATTAATCGGATCAAATGGCCATTCGGAATAAAAACGCGTCATGTAAACACCCTGTTAGGGTTATTTTTTGTTTATTCAGCGTGATCCGAAAGAATTTGTGATCAGAACGAAACGGGTGGTTTACAACTATTCATTACCCGAACGGAGTGCATGTAAATGCTTGATCTGTTTGTTTTTATCTGACGGTGAAAAACTGAACGGACTGCGAATGTGTGACTTTGTCATTTCCACCTGGCTAATGCTAAAACACCTGGTGTCACACTCTAATCAGCTAATTAACTCAAAACACTTGCAAAGGCCTTTAAATGGTCTCTCAGTCTAGTTCTGTAGGCTACACAACCTTGGAGAAGACTGCTGACTTGACAGTTGTCCAAAAGATGGCCATACTATACCATACCATTTTATTTATAGAGCACTTAAAACAACGACAAGGCCAACCAAAGTGCTGTACAGACAGAACAACAGGTAACACACAAAGCAAAATACAAAATGACGTAAATCAGAAATAGACATAAAAACGATGCAGATAATGATGACTAACCAGTGTGGAGCATACAGGTTCAAAACACAGATCATCTGGTGTTGAAAGCTACCGAATAGTAGTGGGTTTTTAAACGGGACTTGAAAACCGAGAGGGAGAGGGCCTGTCTGACAAGCCGAGGTAACTCGTTCCAGAGTCTTGGTCCTGCTACAGAGAAGGCCCTGTCACCTCTGCGCTTAAGATGAGTTCCTGGAACTGTGAGGAGCAACTGGTCCGCTGACCTCAGGGAACGTGGTGGGACATACGGTTGTAGCAGATCAGAGAGATG